AAGCAACATTTAGGAAAAAAAAAAGGGGGGGTCAACACGGGCTACAGTGGGGCAGTAACAGAGTATGATTATTAAAGTGAGGGATGTTAAAACTAATTTTGGAGTTCTTTGGGTAGATATGGTTTTTCAAGGTAGCAACTGATGAATTAAACCTAAAAGAAAGACTGTACATTCTTTCTCTCTTCTTTGGCTACCAATTTTTTTTTTGTTCCTGGTCCACCTAAGGCAAAGAAAAGCATTCCCTGAAGAAAGAGGCTGAACATGAGAGTATACTCACAAGTACTCAGTCCAAGGATAGGCCCTCCACACCTGTTTGCCAATGGAAGAAATTGCGTTCTCGGTGAAATCCCTGGAGGGGAAAAGTGAATATAGGAGAATATGATTCAAGCGGATACTCCCAGGCTAGAATGTTTTGAAATAAACAGCATGTTCTATCTCTGATTTTCAAACCACATTAATCTGACACACTAAATGGAGATAATATCTGAAGAGGACACAACTCAAGCCACCATAGAACCTTCTCAGGACCAGCCACAGCTATTTAAAGAAGAGCAGGGAAGGAGCTTCAGGTGTGCTTCCCTTTAGACACATTCTCATCTTTGTTATTCACAGAAGTGGTGAATCTGTGGCCTGTCAACTCTTGGCAGCTCTAACCTGCACAAACAACAGTGAGGGATGCTGGCAGTTGCAGTTCACTAACCTCTGAAAGGTCATAGGTTGCCTACAACTAGACTATAAAATGAGATATTAGGAAGAAATTGATCCTATGGTATTTCCTGATTTGGCTCTACACTGGTGCAAAGAGCTGCCTTGGCAATTTATGCTAAAACCCAAACAAAACCAAATTGAAAACTGAGAACCTAACAACCCTTCTATATAGATTTTTTCTTCTGACTGGCCCAAAGTCACCCAATCAGCTTTCATGCCTAAGGGGAGCCTAGAATTCAGAGTCTCCTGGTTTCTAGGACAGCACCTTAACCATTACACCAAACTGGCTCTTTTATGTAATAAAAATGAATGAAGATCTGTTTTATTATTTTGTCACCTCCTTCTAATATGTATTGATACTGCCCACTGAATCTATCTGGATGATTTTTACATATACAAATATGCAGATGTTTCTCTGTGAACAGAATTCTTCAAATTTGATAACTGTTTTTGTTATTTGATGAGCAGTACTTTTTTAAAAAAGGCCCTGGGCTTTTCTTTCTAATAAACCTCTTCGCTTAATCTGAAATTTAACCTTTGAGTAAGTTAATAATGAATCCAAAGCTTTATTTTACCCCCACCTGCCTATAGTGTTCAGAATAAATACCTACTTTGGTTTTAGATAATTTTTGGACTAGATGCCCTCCAGATATGTTGAACTACAACAGCCATTATGCCTCCAGAGCTGTTGGATCACATTTCCCCTTATCTGTAGCTAGCATGCCCATGCTAAATGGGGATGATTGAGGCTGTAATGCAACAACAAATTATAATGTTGCCACTGTCCATTGTTACAAAAAAATTCAAGCTGGTTGCTACCTCTTCTGTTTGTATATGCCTTCAAGTCATTAATTCAAGTCCTGGTGACCGCCTGGACTAGTCCTTGCAGTTTTCTTGGCAGGATTTAGGAAGTGGTTTGCCATTACTTCCTTCCTAGGGCTGAGAGAGAGTGACTGGCCCAAGGTCACACCACCAGAGTCATTTAGAGTAGGGTGGCCTTTAAATTATATAAATTAAAAAATTAAAAATTATCCTGGCCTCTGGATTTCACTTTTGGCCAAAGGATAAGGGAAGGGGATAGCAAAAAAAATTATTAAACCAGACAGGAGTGTAAGTATATTTTCTACATCACTAAGACAACTGTGGGCAACTGTGGATGTAGGCTACTCAGAGAGAACAACCAGTATTTGCTTGGTTTTTTGGGGGGGGGGGGTCTCATCACCTGCAGTCAGCACAGCCTTATTGTCCATCAAAGCTGGAGCTATGGTCAAACAGTTGTGTGTTGGAGGGAGGTGACCAGGCTGGGAAAGACTGCACTATGAATTCCAGCCTTGCATATTTGTTGCTAAACTTTGAAGAGTACTATCTGAAACGACGTGTAGTTACAGCATCCCTGACAGAGGAAGATGCAATGCTACCCACTGGGTATGTAGGCATATCAGGTTTTTTTCACTTCACTTCTTTGGCCTTCTCCTTTGGATGAACATTATCTAACGACACAGTGGTATCCTACATCTTTATTCACATATTACATTAAAACATGCTTTTACAGTGTTTTATTGAATTGACTGAGTTCACATGTAACACATGATATATGAACTAGATTTGTAGGTTTATCAGCTACTATGGTTGAGTTCACATAACACGCAGAGCCAAATGAAGCACAATCTACATTATGCAATGCTTAAAGCTTATCTATGATAGCATCCCTGTATTGCACAAAACCCAAATCAAAACCTGAAAAAAAAAGGTCAGCTGATTTCACGACACATTTAAATCCTAAACCATAGCTTACAAACCAGTGGCTAGCTTCACCCAAATTGCTGATAAAACAAAACAAGCCACATTGTGCCAAAGCATTATGAACAAGGCTTACACATTTCAGAAGATATACAACTTTCTACCTATATGATTACTGCACCTGGGAACGTTACACCCCATCTTCCTCCCAATTGTAAGAAAAGTCCCTCCCTTAAAGTGGCCTTGCCCCCCCCCCCAATTTATGGGAGTGAGTGGTTGCCTCCAAGACTTAAATACTCACAATAAGACAAAAACATAGGGATGACCAAATGGCTCCGGAATAGGCACACGGTGGAGACCAGGAGGATTGGCGGTCCTGCTGCAGTTGAGGATTTCTAAGGTACAACGGCACGAGGCTGGGCAAGGCTCTATGGCTGCGTCCAACCTCTTAAAAGACATCAATAGGATCCCAAGGAAGAAAAGATGGGTAGCAGAGGTGGCGACACGTCCCATGCTACAGAGCGGATTCCAGGCCCCGCTCCCCTCTTGCTCATTTGACCCCAGTAAAGGATGCCTTGGAAAATGGCAGCCAACACTGGAGGTGACTCCATGCGGTTACCAAGCAACCACATCCACATGCCTCTCCATATGGAGGCTGCACTAGTGAGGCTGGTGGAGAAGGCCACCACATCACCACCCCATGTCTGGGTTCCCTGATCTTTTAACCTTTTCACAGTAAGCCTCTGTGTGTGTGCATTCCAAGGGTTCCGTTTGGTTGTGACATCATTTTACCATGATTCCTGGCATCATAGAATTGCCAGAACCATGGCAACAATATAGGTAGTTGCCTCTTTTATAGATAATGGGATGGTTTCATGAGATCTCTCAGACATCTGTGATTCTCCTAATTTTTGGATTGTATGAGTCAATTAGAGCCACAGTGGGGAATGCCATATATTTCAACTGGAAAATCAGATTGTAAGGCCTGGCTATCATTCTCCAGCTACTAAAATATGTCAATGCAAATTACTTAAGGCTATAAAAAAGTGTGTGTGTATAAGGGGGGTAAGGGGTGGAGGAAGGAGGGTAGTGCTGGAAAGCCATATATCTTGGCTGCTATACCTAGGATCCAGTCATCTTATTATGGCTTAGGGTAGTGCATCTATCCATTCAGTGTTATTTACAATATATCATATTTACCTCAAAAGATGATGATCCTGAATTTAAGAAGATAATCCTCCTCAGAAGAGTACATAAAAATAAATTATAAACAGAAATTCCCTGTGCAACATCCAGCTTTCAGAAAATGTAGGTGTTTATTGCATTTGTATCCCACTGCAACCAGTCCAACACTTGGTGGCTTACATGATCACATCAATGGTACAATTTACAATATCCATGGTAAATCCAAAAACATAAAATCAATCTCGAGAATACTAAAAATGACAACTCAGGAAAAAAAGCAACAACACAACAAAAAAATGACCCCAAATGAGTTAAAATGCTCTCCAGCACAACTTGGTCTTTAACATCTGCCTGAATGCAATTGGGAGAAATCAGCCTGATCTCCACAGGAAGACTCTTCCAAAGAACCAGGTGAACTGAAAAGCAGTGCTTCCTGGCTTCACATGTGTCATACCTGGATGTGATAAACACCATGGATGTCTATGGGGGGAGAGGGGACAAATGATGGCATGTGCATTAAGTGCCACGGCATACATACTTGTATCAGATGTCCTAATACACGTGCATAATTGCAGGTGGCTTTTGCATGATTAGATTATCACACACTTATCATTTTGGTACAGTGGTTTGCTATGGCTGCTGTTGATACACACACTCCTCCCAGAATCCATCCTTGAAGAATAGGAAGAGCCAGCATAAAAATAAATAAGTTCATTTAAAAACGAATTTAAATTACTTGCCTGTAAAATAGGATGCCCCATTTATAATACTGACTGATCCCTGTCTATATCCACTGACCATTCCCTTATATACAAACTCCCTCTGTCTCTCTCACAGAAACACAAGCAGACAGAGCCTAACATCCCCACACATTTCCTCCTTACTTCCAACAAGAGCAGAACAGGGATGGGATGGGGTGAGTACTAGCAGCAGCTGTACTGGAGAGAAAGGTGGGGGGAAAAACTGGATAGCAGGGTGGGGAAAGGAAAAAGCAACTGGAAAGGGAAAGGGAGAAAAGATGTTACAGAAGAGGGAATTTCACCAGACAAACTGACCTTACCAAGCCTAATTTTCAAGGGCATCCATACTTTTCAAGAGCAGTATTTGCCAGCATTTGCAACTCTTGTTTCTTCCTTTCTTTTCAACTGTTTATTCTATTCTTATCAACCCACTCCCTCAATTCACAAATAATGATTTGGGGATGGGGGGGCAAATAATCATCCTGTTGGGTATATATGGTAGAAAGCTGATATTTTATTGAAAACATTTGCTGCCTTTGAAAAAAGATGTACAGAGCCAACCAATCCTTTTCTATTACTAAGTCATTTATTAGAAAAATATAAAAATCAGAAAAATCATACTGCCTTTCCAATCATCACTAAACATAAATAGGCAATTAGAATTTTCTTGGAAGAGTTCTGTCTTCTGACTGGTAGCTTTCACTTGGTAGCCTCATCACCCAAATGCTCTAAAAACAAGGAGACCCAACTTCCAGGTCAGATAACGTGCTTAGGAGGGAACAGGATATACTTCCAGATCGAGAAGAAAACAGAATCTGTGCCAATCAACTGTTATTCTCCATCCATGTTAAGATCACACAAGATCTCCTCTTCTTCTACAGGGTTCAGCTGTGAAAGTGGCAATTCGGTCACCTGGGAAGAGAGGGAAGGAGCACCTTGACAATTATTTTGCACAGACTGAGTTCTTCAAATCTCACAGATTTTGAATACATTTTGAAAAATTCCAATCTCAGTATTGGGTGTTCTCTGCATATTTTTATAGAAGCCCAGAACAAACTGCTAGAATGGGTTCCTCCCACATACAATCTCATTCTTCTTCTCAGCAACTGTCTTTCCCTCTAGGATTGATAAAGGATGTTACCTAATGAAACACAAAGTTCTCCATCTCTCAAGTAAAGGTCTGGTTAAGACATCGCAGAGTTATAGTTGTTTTTGTTCACTTAGCACGTATGAACCCAGCCACTGTAGTTTATAAACTGTAGCAGATGTGATCACTGAACCCAGCCAACTGTAGCTGAGTCATACAGCTAAACAAACCATGGCTTAGTGCAATCTGCAAATCCTGTCTAAAAGTCATAGTTTAACAGTGCAAACACATTCTCCTCTAAAAGAGACTAACTGCTTGTTGTTAGAATGTTCTGCTCTGATTAGCTCCAACAAATCCCACAATATCTGGACAATAAGTACAGTAATTACCTACTCACAAGTATGAGGCTTGTTGTTGTTGTTGTTAAGTCATGTCTGACTCCTCATGACCCCATGAACCATATCGTGCCAGGCCTTCCTGTCCTTCACTGCCTCCTGGAGTTGGCTCAGTTTCATGCTCATTGCTTCAGTGATGCTATCTAACCATCTCACCCACTGCCGTTCCTTTCTCCTTTTGCCTTCAATCTTTCCCAGCATCAGGGTCTTTTCCAAAGAGTCCTCT